TAATGTATCTAAGATATTTTTATGGTTCTTTTTCATAAATTTGTTAGGCATTCTTTATAGAACTTAAAAGAATTACACTGGTTGAATTATTCACTACAGCAAGCCAGGAGTTGAATTATTAGGTCTGGAAACTAGGATTATGAATGATTTTGGGACACTTCTGTTAGCATTTTTTAAAATAAGGAAGGTTCTTTTGTTAAATACGTGCAGCCTTTGTACATTTTGCACAGTTGTTCTATTGAATGGGAATTATCGAAAACCTTAGATTAATAAAGAGGGGTACATACAGGAAGCTTGTTGGTTCTATGTGATTACCAGTCTATCTTGATGCTTGATCATCCTTAAATATACAGTGAGTGGCTAAAACTGACAGTGTCAATTGCTGTCTTCCTCTTAAACACTATGAACAAACACTACAAACGGTAGCATGAAGAGCTGGATTAAGGTTCAGAGAAGGCAAACAAATATGAAATAAGAGATACCCTTGATGAAGGTTTGCACATTCACATTTTTGTTATGATCTTTAATGCATCAGGCTTGACAGAAAGGGCCATGGTTCTCAGTCATTTTCTACTTGGGATGCATTGTGCACCTGGACAATTAATTCTCCAAACCTTTTGAAAAGCAATTGACATACCTGAAGGCAATCGGCACCTGGGGTCTGTTCTTCCTAGGGGAGCATCTCCCTGGCTGAGATGGTGTTGTCACCCCCTCCCTCTCCTGGAATGAATTACACACCTAATTGATAGTTTACAGCAAAGTTGTTAATCAGATGCTCCAACTCACCACCCTGGATTCTTTCATTTACAGACCCATGGGTGGTGGTGGGGAGAAAGTTACACAGTTACATTTAATAAATAGAAATACCTTTTTCGTTTTACCACCAAGTACATAATCCCTTGTAATGTAGTTGATGTGTTTGACATAGTGAAGCTGAATGAACAAGAATAACATCTGTAGCTTTAGTAATTGCATTAAAAACCATCACAAAATCTGTAGTTCAAACTAATAAGCCCCACCTAAGGAGATTAAAAAATAATGTTTCCATCATTCTTGGCAATGACAGAGCTGGCTTTCAGACTCTTAGCACTGTAATGATTTTTGTTGTCATGAGCTAGCTTGTAACATCATTGCTCTCCAAGGGAAAGGATACTTAGTCAAATTTAGATGAAGCAACCTCACTAAATCTTACAAAGAAATAAAAGTTAACTATAAATTTGGTAGAGTTTTTTTTTAATATGGACATCATGTGTTTGACCTCTTCTTATTTAAATGCCTTAGTGTAATTTAAAAACAAAAAGAACAAATCATCATAACAATAGTGTCCAGATAGAGCTTCTTCTTCTAACGAAACTGGGTTGAAGAACAGTATTCAAATATAGGCAGATACAAGATTTTTTGAGCTACAAAGTCATTGCTTACACATCAGTATTATATACAGTCATCCTTGTGACATCTTTTATAGGAACTTCTGTTGTACTTTCATTAGAATGATTCACTTTAGCTTTCTTCTGTTTAGCTCCTCTTCTTAGCTCTCTTGCACATAATATTCTGACACGTTATATTTTTCGTACACTAATTTTATGTCATACAATATGTTAATGAAGTGATTCTTATATGTGTTCTTGAAGATCCAAGAGAAAATTCCAGTGGATGGAACATGATACAAGACCAATCTCTGGTGCACTTATACATCAATCTCCAATGTCCAAGAAATATATCTTATAAGAAAATTGTTCACAAAGTTATTTGACTGGATGGCCTTCCTCCTTCTTCATTTGCCCTATTTATTCCTGTTAACCCAAATAAGAAAGACTACTATTAACTCTTCCAATTAATTATTCCTCAGTAGTTCTGATTGCATTTTTAAATTAGAAATTATTTTAGACATGGTAGTTTAGGCATATAATTAATTACCTTTCTGATATCAGCATGGTGAGGTGCATGACTTTGTGCAGTCTTCGTCTATCTTAACCACTATAAAGGTGACCTTTGCATTCTGAAATTGTGCTGAAGGTTAGAGTAACTTAGATTTTTATGTAATAGTATTATTAACTTAGGAATCATATTTGTATTAGGGGCATGTGTATGTGTGTGTATCTGTAAGTGCATATGGGTGGCTATGTAAAACCAGTCAGCTATACTTGTCATGACTTTAGCTTAGCTTGACTTCTTTCCCTTGCCCTTGTCACTGGGAATCCTGGCATGTGCTGTGGAGGCACCTACAGAGTGTATATTCTTGTCCTTGACACTGGGAACCCTAGAGTGTGCTGTGGAGGCACTTATAGAATGTATATTCTTGTCCTTGTCACTGGGAATCCTGGAGTGTGCTGTGGAAACATTTATAATAGACTATACATTCTTTGAGCTGAGTGCATCCTTTATGAATTCTCACCCACTCCACATAGATCATGTTGCCAGACAATGATGTTTTATGTGCATTTGTCTCTGATTGAAATCACTGCAAAGCTAATGTGTTCCTTATTGTGCCCAAGACAATTTTCTAGCACTAGCTGACAAGATAACTGAGATATGAAGGATTTAACACAGGAATGAAATAAATAGAAGTAATTTTATTGTATATCTCCAAAGGTAAGTTTTAAAACTCATTTCAAATTGCCTTCAATATTTAAATTATATTTTCGGATGTTATTAAATGCTAAAATGATCCCTTTTGCAGTAGTTAAGGTGTTCTGCATAGTGAAGCATAGGCACACACTGCACCAAACTCTTTTCCTCTTCCCTGTGTTGGCTTTCTCTTTGAGTTCCAACACTGCTACCTGTCCTGAATTTGTTTATGTATGCTGTTATCTGTCGAAACTAGAATGGAAGCGTGGAGAAGGTAGAGAGTAGTGGCTTCTATCTAAGCAATATTGGTTGACTGAGTCAATGTGGGCTCAGTCATTAGCCAGCGTTTGAGTCCTGACTTCAGTGGTTAGTAGCCATATGACCTGGAACATGTTTGGTCATTCTTTTGTCTCAGTGTCCTCTGCTGTAAGACGAGATTAAATAAGAATAATGCTGTCACTGAATAATAGGAAGATTCACAGGCATATCTGCAGCAGAGTTCAATTAATGGTAGCTATGATCCATGGATCAAATGGCTTTGGCTTAGGAAAAATACTCAGAGGTTTACAATCATATTAGAATGATTTGTTGTTGTTTTGGTTTTGCTTCTGGTGAAGTTCTCCTCTTTTCTCCATGCCCTCCTTGGTGTTAGAATGAAAAGCCTAGCATTGCAGAGACAAACCACTAGCTACTTGCCCTGACCTTCCTACTAGGTACTGTCTGTAGGCAATTCTTTATATTCTTCTGGAATGTTTTCATTCGTGCTCCTTCGATATGGAAATCCTTCCTGGCTTTGTTATTCACCAGGCCCTGTTTCATTCCTAAATACAAGCTGCTCGCTTGTTATAGTATTACTTGTATATATGTGGTCAGGTCTGACCATTTGACCTTGGAAGACCAACAGGTGTGCTCTTACCTGAGGAAGACACTGTCTCTCACTCTCAACACTCCCTATAGTTATCTATAGTTCTCAGTGTATGACTGAAGCCTCATGGCTTTTCTGCTGTCCACTTTAGCATATCTATTCTTGTTGTCCATGCTTGGCTCATCTTTAGGCAGTATTGCTGGTAAGAGTATATGGGTGTAAATTATATTACCAAGAGACACAAAGTGTTTCAATTTAAGGAGAATAGCAATCCGAAAATTGTTCAATGGACATACACTACACCAGAGACTTTTTGTACTAATTAATTCCTTGGCATATCTAAATGATGAAAGCCCCCGAAGAGTGCTATTCTATACCATTTGGATCACCCAGTCGTCAGTTATTTCCAGTACTTGGAATGTGTATATGTATATGTGTATAGTAAAGTGGCTTGATTTTATTTAACTTGCAAAAATCTTTTTTTTTCTCCAAAATGACCACGAAATGGAAGTTAATCCTGCGGTAGGAGGAACTGGGAGAAATACTCTTATTTCATTGTTTTATGTCCTTGAGTTGCTGAGGCACAAGCTTTTATCATTCAATGTGCCCCCATGTTCTTTGCCATTCTACACCATGTGTTTGTGACATTTTTATTAGTCTTTTCTGCTTGGTCACTGTATTCAATCCAACAATTTATTACCATCCTCTTAAGTTGTATTCTTTGTACAGGGAGTGGGGAAAACTCACAGTGCTTGCACATAAAAAGTCATTATCTGTCTTAGCAAATCTAGCCACACAGAAACAGTGAATCATGACAGCTCTGCTGGGGGACATAGGACACATCATGAAGGACAAGAGAGTAGGAGCGAGGCATGATTAAGTCCTAGAAAGATGGTAAGTCCATCAATTGTGGCAAATATTAGTAGCCCTTTCCTGATTCACACTTCAATTGACAGTTTAATATATTTAGTAGGCAGATGAAGTTTATAGCCAGGTAGGGCTCTCAGTTCATCATCATAATTTACTTGGCACCAGCCAAATCCAATCAGGATAGTTATTTTACTCTCCTCAAATAAAAGCACCTTTTATTGCACACACACATACACACATGAGGCATGCATGCAAAACACATATGAAGGAGAGATACACTGATTCTTGATACTTCTTGCATCTTGAGATTGAGGTCGTGTTTTGTTATACCATCATATTTTGTTTGGTTCCATTTGTTGGAACTTTTTGTTGAGTAAATGAATTCAGGATAGTACATTTCAAATCTAAATGTGTCTTTCCTCTGCAAGGCTCAGGTGTGTGGGGGGGTTAATCTGAGGGTCCAAATTTTCAGTGACGGCTACAATTTCCACTTGTGCTTCTAATAGTTCAATAGAACAGTTGTCTCTTCACAGTAAGCTTAGCCCTCATCTCTCTCTCTCTCTCCTTCTTAGTATTCAAAATGTTGTTTACAGATTGTTATTATTTTTTGTGATTCCCCGAGAAGTTGTCATAGGAGCAATCACATAGAATGAGCTAGATAAATTTTGTAAAATGTAAAAAAAAAAAAAAAAGGAAAGTGCTCACTTCAGCAGCACATATACTAAAATTGGAACGATTTAGAGAAGATTAGCATGGCCCCTGTGTAAAAATGACACGCAAATTCATGGAGCATTCCATATTTAAAAAAAGAAAAAGAAAAAAGAACCTTGCCTACTGGTGGTGGTGTACACCTTTAATCCCAGCACTCAGGAGGTAGAGGCAGGCGAACCTCTGTGAGTTGGAGGCTAGCCTGGTCTGCAGAGCAATTTACAGGACAGGCTCCAATGCTATAGAGAAACCCCGTCTTGAAAAAAAAAAGTTATAAAAAATATATTAGTCTTTAGTGTGTGTGTGTATACACTTGTTTGGGTACATTGTACATGCAGTGCCTAGAAAGGCCAGTAGAGGACCAGAATTCCTTGGAGATTAAGTTACAGGTAGTAGTGAGATATCTGGAGTGGGTGTAGGAAACCAGACCTGGTCCTCTGCAAGAACAGCAAGTAATTTCAATGACTGAACCATTTCTTCATCTCCCACCAAATAAAATTAGCAAAAGCCTTTCTTCCTTCTTTTGAATTTTGTTTTGAAGCACACACACACACACACACACACACATTAAAGACTTTTGCAGATGCAGAGATCCATGACCAGCTCCGTGAGTCCTGTTGAAGAAAGATGGGAGGGATTGTGTAAGTCAGGGAGTCAAAGTCATGATGGAGGAACCCACAGAGACAACTAACCTGAGCTCTTGGGAGCTCATAGACTCTGGACTGACAGATAGGGAGCCAGCATGGGATCAACCCAGGTCCTCTCCATCAGGGTGACAGCGGTATGGCTTGGCTTGTTTGTGGAGCTCCTGGAAGTAGCGTAAGGACCTGACCCTGGCACTTGAGCTAGCTTTTGGGAACCTAGTCCCTATGCTGGTTTGCCTTACCCAGGCTTAAAGCATTGAGAGGAGACTGGTCCTGCCTTAAGTTGATATGCCATGCTTCGTTGATTACCCTTTCTGCAGGGGAAAAAGAGTGGATGGGGAGGAGTAGGGGGTAGAAAGGAGGATTGGTGAGGGAATGGGAGGAGATGAGGGAGAGGAAACTAGGATCAGGAGGTAACATAAATGAAAAAAATTAATTAATACAATAAAATACTTTTCATTCTTTTCCCTCATCCCAAATTTCTATCAAAAATGGGATAAAGTGGAATAAAATGCAATTTCAGTAATTTTACATATGATTTTTTAAAACAGCTCAATACTTAAAAATAACAATATGTTTATTGTGGTCAAACTGAAAACTCAACTGATTTCCTGGCTGTTGGTGTTAGTATGGCCATCATTTTATCATGAGAACGTATTATGGTAATTTATTTTAAACTTTTTTGAAAAAGAATAGCTTGTAAGCCAGGTGATGATGGTGCACTCATTTAAACCCAGCACTTGGCAGGCAGATCTCTATGAGTTCAAGGCCAGACTGGTCTATAAAGAGATTTCCAAGACAGCCAGGGATATTATACAGAGATACCCTGTCTTAAAAAAATCTAAAACATTAAAAGAAAAAGAAAATAATAGTTTTTAGGTTAACTTACTATGCAAGAGAGAGAACCCAGCATTTGTGTGCTAGCAGGAGGAGCTAAAATATTGGTTTCAGCATGAGAATTTGGCCCTTGTCTCACCTAGCCATTAAAGGTTCATAATGTGCACTTATCTTACAAAGATACTGAAAAGCCCACATGTTGCCATGGTGTCAGTGAAGTATGCAAATTTTGAGTGTCCTTTCACTGTGGTGGTATTAGCAACCCTGACAGTCGTTTGAGTTCATGTGCTATACATATGCTTGCTAGTGAGGATGTTCCCATCACTCTCTGAAATACCCGAGTCTTAACTGTAGCTAACTTCTCTGTGTCCAGCCCCATCCACTTTCCCCTTTCCAGGGGATCCCCAACTGGATGCAGTGCCTGATCCATTCATGGCTCATGGTAGCGGGCTGCCTAGTATAAGTCAGTCAACACACTGCATTTCTTTGGTAATTCTCGATCACCAGTTTTATAGTTCATGATGCTTTCATCTTATAAAAGAAAGAGACTTAGATATCCTCTCCAGGGGTATTGTCTCTTCTTCTTTTCCTCCCTTCATTTTTTTTTTTTTTTTTTTTGCTTATCTTCCCCATTTTGTTTTTCTCTGTCTTATTCTAAGTCAGGAAGCATGGCAACCGGGTCACACTGGGGGTCATGTTGAGTCCAGGAGTGAAGCTGTTGGACACGCTGACCTTGAAGATGAAGAAATGAGAAAGATGCTACAGTCAGTGCCTGGACCTCCATCCCTGAGATGCTTGCCCTGTGAGGTTTGGATAGCTTTCAGTTACGTGCAAACTAAAGTGAAAAGCATTGATTAACTCTGTGTCAAGAACTAGAGCCAGCCTTCTTATTTAACATTTTTTTAATTTGTGAGCACAAAATTACATTTCCTAAGATTACAGTTTTTTTGCCTTCTTTTTGCATGGAGTGGGTAGACTACTATTTTTTAACTACTAAAAATCTCTGTGAGTCTCAGAAATTTTCTCCATGGTAATCGTTTCATTTTCTTAGTTAGAGATTCTTTCATTTTTTGGTTGCCTCATTTGTACATCAACTTTTTGTTGTATAATGGCTTTCTTGAGAGGCACACCACTCAGCTCACAAATAAATTACACATAGAGGCTTATTCTTAGTAATTAATGCCTGGCCTTAGCCTGGCTAGTTTCTTGCAAACTTTGCTTATCTTAAATTTCTCCAACTATCTTTTGCCTCTGGGCTTTCATTTTTTTCTACTTTTTTATATCTTTCTTTACATCTTCCTCCATGACTTTCTGTGTAGCTGGCTGGCTAGCTGGCCCTGAATGTCCTCCTCTCCTTGTTCTCTTGCTCCTCTCTCCTAGTTTCTCCTATGTAACCTTTCTCCTGCCAGTCCTGTCTGTCCTTGCGCCTGCCTTGCTATTGGTCATTTATGTCTTTATTAGGACATTTAGGTGTTTTAGATAGGCACAGTAACAGAACTTCGTAGAGTTAGACAAATGTAGTGTAGACAAATATTACACCCCTGAAAATAATATTCTCCAATAACTTTCTTTTCAAAACTTTTGCATTATGACAACATACCTAAGAGAAAACACACAAAGATATTATTATTTTTCTCTCTTTTTGACATGCATTTTCCATTTGTTCAAGGACTTGTTTAGTCTGTGTACAAGTTTTCTGGCATGGATAGTACCTGCACAATTTGTTCAGATCCATTTTGGCTGCTTCTTCATTTAAAACGTAAGCATCTTGAAGACTCTGCTGCAGCCTCAACAAAGTTTGGTCTCAGAAATGGCAGGTGGGCAGGGTTCGATGCTCTGCCATGGTTTGATGAAGGAAGGGAGAGAAAGAGAAAGGGAGAGGAAAGATTGAATGTGATCTACAGGGCTTTAGGAACTCTTGCATTTTCAGATATGAAACTGTTCTTAATGGACCTCTGAGACCTATACACCTGCCATACTCTGGACAGCTTCCACAGTCCTATTTTCCCCTTCTGAGCTCCAGTTGTGGAATTTCTGTAGGTCCTGAGGTTTGCCTCCCTACTTGCCTGCACAGGCTTTGGCATATGCTCTCTCTCTCTCTGTGTCTCTCTCTACACATCTCTGTTTATATGGTTATGTATGAATGCTCTATCTTCACTACAGCTTAACAACAAGCAAGTGTTTACTCATTTCTCTAATGGTTTGCCAGTGTCTAGCATATGTTAGTCATCCAATAATTATGTATTGAATGAATGCCAGCAAACATTGTCTTGTCAGCCTACTTCCATATTTTTTCTTACTAAATTGCGCTTATTGTTAAGGAAGGTTTGTTTTCATATTATCTCTTTATGTATCCCTAATAATAACCTGTATAAAAGAAAGCTGTGCTCATTAGAGATAGATGTTGCATTCCTGGCTAATTCTCATCCTGTTTCATTGCCTTACTTGTGATTCAGCTTATGCTATGGTTTGAACATGATCCTCTAATGTTCATGCATTGGAAGCTTGACCCCTAAGTTTATATGGTAATAATATTTAAATATGGGGCCTTAAGGGTATTATTAAGATTAGGTAATTGCTGTGGGATAATGCCCTTGTACATTGTAAAGATTTGTCACTCATATTGGTTTAATAAAACACTAATTGGCCAGTAGCCAGGCAGGAAGTATAGACAGGGAAACCAAAGTAGGAGATTTCTGGGAAGAGGAAAGGAAGACAGTCAGTCACCAGCTAGACACAGATGAAACAAGATGAAAATGCCTTACCAAAAAAAAAGGTACCAAGTTATGTGACTGAACATAGGCAAGAATTATGGGTGAATTTAAATCATAAGAGCTAATTAGTAATAAGCCTGAGGTATAGGCCAACCAGTTTATAGTTCTTATAAGCCTCTTAGTGTTTATTTGGGACTGAATAAGTGAGCAACTAGCTGGGACAGAAACTTCTGTCTACAGGTAATTCTATATGAGTATTTTCAGGGGGATGCAAAGAAATGTCTGTTCATCAAGATAGAGAAGACCATAGCAGGCAAAGCAAAAGTCCCTTGTATGTCCAACTTGGTGAGTATCTTATAAACCCTATTGCTGTGATAAAACATCATTACCAAGAACAACCTGGGGAGGAAAGGGTTTATTCTACCTTTGAGCTTGTTGTCCAACTTCCATGATAGTTAGAGCAGGAATCTAGAGACAGGAACTAATGCAGTGGTCAAGGAGGGGTGCTGCTTCATGACTTGCTTCTCATGACTTTCTCAGCCTATTTTTTTTAAATAGCATTTAGGACCACCATGGTGGTTGGTGTCATCCACAGTGAGTTGGGCTCTCCTAAATCAATCTTCAATCAAGAAAATGTACCACAGGCTAGTCTATTGGGGAATTTTCTCAATTGATGTTCCATCTTCCAAAATGACTAAGATGGTGTCAAGTTAATATAAAATCAGCTAGAACATTGAGTCAGTGAGTTTATGGGAGTTCGTAGTGACTCCAAGGCATTTACTTGTCCTATTATATTATTTGCTAGTTTATAAACTTGGGCATCAACTTTATAAAGATCTCATGAATGTGAATGAACTGTGGAATTCCCATGAGCCCCATGAGCCTTTGTCTTGTGAGCATC